CTACAGCCTTAAGATCGTTTTAGCAATATCCTGGCCTAGGCGAGTCGTGTGCATGTTACAATGTGAGCAGCACTGCTGTGGTAAGGAGCAGCTAACTGAAATAAATCACCAGTCATTTGTATGCAAATTTAAGATATGCACATTGCTTATACATATGAGGGCTCCTCTACAGAATGAAGAGCTTGTGTCCAAGCTACTTCCAGGTGGCCAGCCAGAGGAGCTATTTCGGAGCCCCAGGATGGTGCTGCTATTGCTGCCACCAGGAGAACATGGTATCTCCCAGGGACCGAGCTGCTAGTCTGCTATGCTGGACCTCTGGAGCTTCAAGGAGAGTCAGGCTCCAGTTACTGGAATCAGAGGGCTAATTGGCCTCACATGTCTCTGAATCCTGCCAGTTGCTGGGGAGTGACAGGACTCCCCAAGGAACCAACCAAATGTAAAGAAAAAGGATCCAAAGACAAGGAGGGACAGAGAACTAAAAGCCAATGCCTGGAAATGTAACTGTTAAATTTCTATCTTTCTACCCAAAAGTGCAAGGGGGGAGAGCATCAGCTGAGAACCGTTCTGTCATCTTCTCGGTTCAGCTGTCCTTTAGCTGCATCCTGCCTAGCAACAGTTGTTAGCATGAGCTACAGCTACAAATCCTTCTTTACACACTGATTGGGGGGCTCAGTTTAGCCCAAAAAGGGGCCAGGGCACACAGATGGAGCCAGGTTGTCTGAAAGTTGGGGCAGAGGAAGAGCTGCCTGGAAAACCAGAGGACAGGGTACACTGTGGGACTCTCTTAGAAGCAGGGAGTTGGCGGAGGAAAGGCCGGGGTTGTGTGAAGCAAGTGAGGATTATCTTCAGCACCCTCTCTCTGCTCCTCTGGCTCCTCTGAATAATGCTACCAGTAATATCACCACCTCTACATCTGGGTTATGCACTTAACCTTCCGGAGTGCTTCTGTAGGCATGATCTCATTCCATTCTCCCAACCGCACAGAGTGAGCAGGATCGGAGACAGGTTAATTATGATGTAGGCTGAGCACTGAAGCTGGCCAGGACATGGCGTGCTGCTGGCTGTAGGGTTAGGGTGACCCCCAAATGGAAACTCTAGATAGCCAGAGGGTCTAGGATCCTGAGTGGATGCAGGTGGGGGAGCTGATGGGGGGGCCCCATCCAAGAGATTTGGCTCCAGTTGAACCACTGAGGTACACAGTCTCTGTGGGTCTCTGCTTCTTCGTCTACCTTGGAGGCTGGGGTGGAGGAGGAGCAGTCGCCTAGCCTATTCGGCAGGACAGTTAGATGCTGTGAGGAGATAATGGATGTGAAAGTACCTTTCTCAAATGAGGTAATAGATGTAAAATGAAAAGAATCACATAGATCTGAAGTGTTGTTATTATCAAGCAGAAGAGAAACATTAGACCTTTGCCCTCGTCACCGATTGGAAAGAGCAAGCCCGGCACAGGATGAGGAGATACCTTTAGGGAGCTCGGGTGGGGAGGAGACAGATTAAAGGCATTGCATGCTTGTAGCAAACAACAGAAGAAAATAGCAAGTCCCACGGCAAAGCAGTGGGGCGGGGTACCATAAGCTTTGGCTGCTTCATAATTTTGCTCAGGGTTGCCCTGCTTGAAGGGACCAGAAGCCAAACATCTTTCAAAGTCAAATTCCCTGTTTCCCCCAGGAGGGAAGTCATGTGACCCACGGACAGCTGAGCTCTTATCATCCATCACTGCTTGCCTCCTGTGTCACTCCCAAGTCTCCAGGCACTTAGGAAATTTCAGAGGGACTCCGTTGCAGACACTAGAAAGAGGCACACCCCAGAAGGAAAGAAACAACTTCCATTTAAATTGTAAAATGGCTTCCTGGGCTGTTCATGGGCGCATTTCTCCCCTGACCCAAGATGCCCAGGAAGCCAAGTGTGGTGGCACACGCCTATAATCCCAGCACTCAGGAGGCTGAGGCAGGAGGATCATTTCGAGTTCAAGGTCAGCCTGGGCTACAAAGTGAGCTCAAGACCAGCCTGCACTGCATAGCTGGCCTTGAGCTCAAAAGACCGTACTCAAAAAAAAAAGATGCCCAGGAAGGCCCCAGCAGTGTGAGGCAAGGGCTGCTTGCAGAACTGAGCGAGAATCTACTTAGTACAGCTCAGTTGGGGACAGCTGTCACCAGGAATGAAGTGTGCTCCGGTGACACCTGGACACACGGCTGTGGTGGTGAAAGAAATAGCTGGGCTGTCTGGATAGGTGGGGCACGCCCATGGTCAGAGCTTGGGTTCTCAGCTCTCTCCCCAACTCTTCCCTGTGCTGTGCAGCCAGCACAGCCCCCACTTCCTCCACGGACACTCTCCAGTGTCTCTTCCCTCTCCTCTGAACACAGCCTGCCACTTGTTAGAGTTGGTCTACTAGTCTCAGGGCTTTGTTTCACTTGCGCATTGGATACTTGTCATTTCTCCTCCAGCTAGACGGGAGGCTCTTTGTGGGCAGAGATTTGTAACTTCTCTTGTGTCCTCCAGGGCACCACACTATCTGAGGTACGCATTCAATAAGTACTTGTTGATAGACTAAAATGAAAGAATAAAACAAGACTTGTGTCACCAAAGGCTCTGGGCTCATTGCTTGCTCAGCTTCAGGAGCGCCCATTTGCAACAGTACTGGTGGTACCTCAAGGCCCATTTGAGACTGAAATGTCTTCAGCTTCAGAAAAAGAAAAAAGGAGCCTGGTGGGGTGGTACATACCTGTAATCCCAGCTGTTGGGATGGTTAAAGCAGAAGGACCACAAGTTGAAGGCCAGCCTGGGCAATTCAGTGACCCCTTGTTTCTAAACAAAATTTGAAAAGCAGTAGGGATACGGCTTAATGGTAGAGTGCTCGCCTAGCATGCACTAGGGCCTGGATCAGTTCATCCTCCGCTACCCCCACCAGCCCACCAAAAAAAAGAACAGGGACAAAGCTGAGGCTTTAGCCATCGGGAATTGGGGGACTGAGTGCGGGAGAGTTTGCCAAGCACTTCCTCAGCAAGCCTGTGTCTTCTTGCCAGTATTTCTGCTCATGCTGGAGCTCTGGAGCCCAGTAAGTTTCCATCTTCCAGCCTGCCCCAGACTGTGTCCACACAGGAAACAAGCTGCTTCGGTCTCGCAAGAAGACCCTTTTAATGCCGCAATGGCAGGAGACAAAAGGCTCGTTTGGGAAGCAGCCCCAGGGTGAAGAAGGACAGCAGCTGTAGGAGGATGCTGTCTGGATCCCTTTAAGGCCGAGCTCCTGCCTGTCACCAAGAGCAGAAATGAGAGAGGCACCAGCCTGAGGCCATTTGTGCAGAGCCTCTGTCTCAGGAGGGTCTATCCAGGACACTGGCCGCCATATTCCAGCTTCCAAGTGCCTTTCAATTAAAAAGTGACCATTTGTCTTACTAGGGTGGGAGGGAAGGAGCCAGCTTCTGAATTCTCCTTCTGGAGGCTTGACCTCATCCGCTCATGGCCATGCACCTCCCGACACGGAAAGAGGCAGTCTCCAAGGCTGGATGCAGCTGGAGTGCATATGGCTGAATTCAAGTCAGCCACGTCTGTCTTTCTTCTTTCCCAGTTGTGATATGATTGCGAACTCCAGGGTTCTTTGCCAGACTGTGAATTTCTCTTTCATACAGTTAGTTAATCCCCCCTCCCCGACAGACCGTCCTAGAGTTCTGCTCTAATCACTTGATTTGTGTCCAGATAAACAACCTAGCTGCTGAGACATTTGCCACCGACAAACGTGGTATTCTTAGCTAGTCAACGATTGCATCACTCTCGCAGTGTCAAAACCTCCCATTTCTTTCACAAACCTTGCGCTCTGCTTGTTTCATTAATTACTGCCTAGCGCTCCGTATCTTGTCGTGAAGGGCCCTGCCTGGAACCTCACTTGTAGCGGATCCACACACTGAGATTAGGAAACCTAAGCCTATCTATCGGCCTGAAAGCCTGGGGGAGGAGTGGGGTCAAGTCAGGGAGCTAAGCCCCTGGGTCACTTGACACTAGCCCCGGTCTTCTACCTCCAACTGTGCTGCCCTGCCCCATCACTCCCCTTTTTACCTACCTCCTTCCTTGTCCCTAGCCCGCAGTGCCCTCACAGGCCCGGTGGCCCCACACCCTTACTCCTCGGGGCAATTCATCTGACTACTATACCCAGGCCTATCTTTGCCTGCAGTGTGCCTCACCCAAGCCTTTCTGTGGAAACTTTATAAAGCTCTCCGGGAATTCCTAAGCTTCAGTAACTTAAGTTGTGGGCATCAGGAGGGCAATCTGTAATCTCTCCCAGGTGTTAGGGTAGTGCTTTCTCTTCTCCAGCTCCTGAGTCTCAGATCTGTTAGCAGCCCCAGGGTGATGCTCCCCTTCTGGCTCACAGGAGCCAGGAGCCATTTTCCAGCTGTTCCGTTAAATGAAATAAGTTGAAATAGTGTACAGCTGTGTAAAGTAATGGTCCTAAGCATTAGCATGCTTGTTTATTTATGCCACTTAAATAGTTCCTTTTTGTATATCACCCAGAGATATTAAACTTTAAAATCTCTCAAGGACTTCATCGAGGCGCTCCACAATCTAGAATGATTTCACATTTCTTTCCCACTTATTTGCCTGCTTGGGAGACCCATTTTCCCAAGGTTTTTGTTTCCTTTAGGGAATTAATAGCCAATTAAAATGGCTAATATCAGTTAATTTTAGAATAACACATTTGTACCTACCTAGGCTTCTTCTGGAGTCCCAATGTCTTAGAGGAAGGGTCTGATTCTTGCTTTTAGACTCCGTGGCACCAGATTCTTCTCTTGGCTTCTGCCCTGAAGACAAGTGACTTCTCCTTCCTAGATTTCTTTCTTCAGTCTAAAATATGAGGCGGTCATTATGTCTGTTGGTTCCAGAGGATGTAGGAAATTAAGCTGTACTCGCAGTGGGCCATAGCCAGACCCCTAACCAGTTGTTCTCCCAGCTGATTCTGAGGCTCGGTTCCCTTTGCATCTTGTTTTGCTCCCATCTTCCCCCTTCCCCAGTCATGTATGCAGGAAGAGAGCACAAATGATATGGAATGTGCGCATCTGCCCGCAGAGACGCTGCGACAAGTGACCATTCACCGAGACCCTATATATGGCTTCGGCTTCGTGGCCGGCAGTGAGAGGCCTGTGGTGGTTCGATCTGTGAGGCCAGGTAGGTGTGCCTCAGAGCATCCCTCCAGCCCTGGCTCCTATCCCACAAGACCCCCATTATCTTCTCAAAGAGTAGAACTTCTGAGTACACTGTGTTGCTGAGGAATTCACAAAGAGTGGGTAAGGACTTGCCAACCAATAACTAGGTTTAAGACAGGTAGACAAGCCAGGCACAGTGGTGCATGCCTGTAATCTCAGCTGCTTGGGAGGCTGAGGCAGGAGGACTGCAGGTTCAAGTCTCACATGGCAACTGGGTGAGCCCTAATCTCAAAATAAAAAATAAAAAAGGCTAGGGATATAGCTCAGCACAGAGCCTTGGGTTCAATCCCTAGAATCCCCCCCACCCCCAGAATGCCTGATAGATACAAACCACAGATGCAGCATGGGGCCATAGACAGAGACTGAAATGTGAAATTGATTATTTAATGGGGTCCGGGTCTTAGTAAAGCTTCTGTTTGCATAGAACATTCATAGACGAGCCGTAGTGCTTTGGATGAGAAAGTACCATTCAGTTCAATTCAACAAGTATTTTTAGAATGTCTACTCGAAGCCCAGCAGTGGTGCAAGGAAATATAAGACACAGTTCCTGTCCTCCCGAATCAAGCCATCAGGCTGTGGAGACTGGTCCGTACTCATGAAATAGATAAGCCACCTAAGTCAGAATCAGATAGAGACAACAGGTGGGATAAGAGGGGCACAGGAGAATGAAATCTCTGAATTTCAGAGTGGCAGTAACAACAACTACCATTGACTGATCATCTGCTACACACTTTACATCATCTTATTTAATCCTCACAGCCGAGCCTGCAAGGTAAGTAAGTAAAACTCTTCCCATTTTATGAATGAGAAAACTGAGGCACAGAGGAAGAGAAATGGCCCACCCCGGAGCACTGAGCTAGGAAGCCATAGTCAGGATTTTCTGTGTGTGTGATGCCCTGAGGGGGAGTGGGATTTGAACGGGACCGTGTGGGATGTAACAAGCAAAACACCCCCCCCCAACTGTGAAACCCTGCCCTCATGAATGAAATAAGAACGGCGAAAACACTATTTTGTTCCAAATGTGCTATGCACTGACAGAAAAGACAGACAGAGAGGAGCTTTATTCCAACTTGCTGGGCCTGAGGCTTTAGATGTTTACAACAGTTTTTCACTCAGTCAAGAGAAGCAGCTGGAGTACAAACTGGTCTTGCAGAAATTTGATGAATTTTGCAATCCTCAAAGGAAAAGAAGAAGATTTTGTAAGCTCTCTTCAACTAGAGGCCACAGAGTAAAAAACCTTCAGTACAGGAGTTTGTGACTGACCTCAGGCACCCAAGTCAGTCATGCAGTTTAGCAAAAGACTTTTGAGTCTCTGATCAGAAATCAAATTTGTCCTGGGCAAGAGGGACCAGACAAAACTTAGTAACTGACTATGGGAAGCTTCTGCTTTCATTTCAAAGCTGAAAGAATTCACGGGGCTGACAGAAGCCCCCAGGCCTGGAGGGGTGAGCTGCAAAAGGTAAAAGATGAAGAGAAGGGAGTTGCAGGGGTAAAGAGAAGGAACTCCCCAGGCGAGAGCCACAGAAAGCCGTGGGACCGACAGGCATAGCCCTATGAAAAGACGCCGGCTGATCCCCGCTGCTGCTTCTACACAGGCAGCCGGGCAGCTGAATGCAGAGGATGTTTAGTTCAGAGCATGTGTGAGGCCGTAAGAAGACACAAAGGAGTGTCCTGTACAGGAGCAATCCCGGTTGAGAAGCCAACAATCCATTGCGAACGCGGTAGCAGATTGATGCTCCCACTGCCTCCTGTGAAGGAGGTTTAAATTCTGTGAGAACCTTATCCTTCGCAAGGGAAGGAAGGAAGAAAGAGGGCAGGAGAAAGGAGGAAATAGGTACAGTGGCCTCCACCTAAGAGACTGGCATTTTTGACAGGAGTGTCTAGAAGGAATGAAATAAGTTAGAGGAATTGTCCCGTGGAGGATATAATAACTACCATTCATTGAATCCTTACCAACCTCAATCAACTGTTTAGGTACCATACATTTATCATCTCATCCTCCACCACTCTTATGATGTGCAGGTACTGTTATTTTCCCATTTTACAGATGAGGTAAGCAACTCAGAGACATTCAATGGCTCATCCAAGGTCGCATGACTAGTGAATTGCAGGTTCAGGATTAGACCCCAGGTATGTCTCCTGTGAAGAACATGCTATTCACAACCACACTGTCCTGTCCTGAAATGCTGGGCTGTCAAGAGATGTGACCTGTTGAGCCCAGGGCCATGACTGTTGAAGATATAACTGCCACGAGCTGTGTTGGCATAGCCGTCCTTAGCACAGGGGACCCAGGCTCCGGAGCCAATGAACTGCGCTCAGGTCACATATTGGCTGTGCGTTCATGGTTTTGGAATTTGGGTCACACGCTTCTTTAAAAAGCGACAGAGACATTGGAATCAGGCCTTTTAAAGTGGATACAAGAAGAGTTGAGCTTGGTTTGAGTATGGAACATGTCATTAAACATTTCTTTCAGGGGCTGGGGATTTAGCTCAGCGGCAAAGCGCCTGCCTGGCAAGCGCAAGGTCGTGAGTTCGGTTCCCGGTACCGGA